TGGCCCTCAATCTAGGCTCGGGTTCTTCTCCGCCAACCAAACCTTGGCCCATAAAGTTTCTTTCCCAGAACACACTTCTTCCTCCTCCTCGGGCATTCACCCGATCGCAAGACCAGTGTAGAATTTCACCGCCTCTGTCGACGACTACTTACCGACATCTAATTTTGCTGCTTCTGTCGATGACTTAAGCATATCGCAAATTCAGAACATTATTGCTCACCTAAATGCATGTCTTCACCAACCTTACTCTGTCATCTCTCCTGACAATCTATCTCTCTCCACAAGTCATGCCACCCTTGATCCTCACGCGGCAGGTATATCCTACACACCTTTTTGCCTTTCCAACTTCACACACACACTTACCTCTGAATGCTGGATCATTGACTCTGGAGCCACACATCACATTTGTTGTACACCCACACTTTTCACACACTTTAAAAATGTACATCCCATCCCAGTCACTTTACCAAATGGTAGTTCAGTGTTAGTCAATCAAGTTGGAAGTACACCACTCACCGACACCCTAACTCTACATGATGTTCTCTTTGTCCCTCATTTTTCTTTTAACCTTGTCAGTGTCAGCATGTTGACCACCACCCACAACTGCGCAATTGATTTTTCTCTTCATTCTGGTGTCATCCAGGACCGCACTCAGGACTTGTTGATTGGGAAGGGTAGATGCATTGGCAACCTCTACTACTTAACCACCAGATGTTTTTCTTTTCCTACTGTTTATTATGTTTCCACTCACTCTAAAAGTAGCCTATGACATTTTAGATTGGGTCATCCTTCCTATGTAAAACTTCAGTATATTAATGAAGCCTTACAAATTTCGAATATTTCTCATTGTAAAGTTTGTCATTTGGCTAAGCAACGTAAATTATCTTTCGTTTCTAACAATAGATTATCTGACCATCCATTTGATCTAATCCATATTGACATTTGGAATCCCTTTTCCCCACCCACTATCGAAGGGTACAAATATTTTCTCACAATAGTTGATAATTGCACTAGAACTACTTGGGTGTATCTTATTCGTCAAAAGTCCGACGTTCTTACTATTCTCCCTGAATTTTATACTCGTCTACTTACACAATATAATGTTTCCATTAAATCTATGCGATCTGACAATGTGCACGAGTTGAATTTTCATTCTTTTTTCAAGTCAAAGGGTATTGTTTCTTACCATTATTGTGTTGAGACTCCCTAAGAAAACTCTGTTGTCAAACGTAAACATCAACACATTTTAAATGTGGCACGTGCTTTACTGTTTCAATCCCATATTCCTCTTGTGTATTGGGGCAATTGCATCTTGACTGTTGTTTACCTAATCAACCGTACACCTTCCCCCTTGTTATCTAATAAAACTCCATTTGAACTATTAACTCAAAAAAAGCCTTCCTATGATCACTTGCGCACCTTTGGTTGTCTATGCTACTGTTCAACTCTTGATAGTCATCGCCATAAATTTTCACCTCGTTTTAGGGCGTGTGTCTTCCTTGGTTACCCTTCGGGTTACAAAGGATATAAACTTCTTGATATAGAGAGCAACCAAATTTTCATCTCACGTAACGTCATTTTTCATGAACATATCTTTCCGTTTCTTTCCTCTCAATCACCTGATCCCATTCACAATGATTTTTTTCATGATCGTGTTTTACCTGTTCCTCTCCATACATCTACACACTCCTCAGGTTCTCTTGATACACCTGTTCGCTCACAACATGAGTCCTCCCAAACATCCTTATCTCGCCCACTGCGTATAACACGACCACCCTCTTATTTGTCTGACTATCACTGCTACCATACAAATACCCATGCACTTTATCTCATTTCTTCGTTCCTTACTCGTACCAAACTTACCCCCCAATATCACAACTTTATCAGTGCCATTTCCTCCCACACTGAGCCTACCAACTTTTATGAGGCTAACCAGTCCAATGTTTGGATGAATGCTATGAACGTGGAGCTACATGCCTTAGAGGACAATAACACTTGGTCCATTGTTTCCCTCCCTCCTGGGAAGAAACCTGTTGATTGCAAGTGGGTTTACAAAATTAAATATCAAGCTGATGGGACCATAGAACGATACAAAGCCCGTCTGGTTACTAAGGGCTACACACAACAATTTGGCATCGATTTTCTTGACACCTTCTCTCATGTTGCCAAATTGGTTACTGTCAAAATTTTACTTTCACTAACTGCTATCCATGGTTGGCGCCTGACTCAGTTGGACGTCACCAACGCTTTTCTACATGGTGACCTTCACGAAGAAGTTTATATGAGTATTCCTCCAGGCTATTCTCTTCGAGAGGGGGAGACTTTTCCACATCAACTTGTTTGCCGCCTACACAAGTCAATCTATGGGTTGAGACAGGTTTTCCGACAGTGGTTTCATAAGTTTTCACAAACATTACTTCAAGAAGGCTTCCATCAGTCACAATGTGACCATTCTCTATTTTTCAGACAACAAGGTAAAACCTTCCTAGCATTGTTGGTGTATGTCGATGACATTGTTATTGCCAGTAATGACGATCAGACTATCGAAGAGCTCAAAGCTACACTCAGAAAAAATTTAAAATAAAAGATTTGGGAACTCTCTGATATTTTCTTGGATTTGAAATTGCAAGAAATGACACATGAATCACCTTGTGCCAAAGAAAATATGTGTTGGATCTGTTAACTGAGACTGGATATCTTGGTTGTAAACCCTCATCTATTCCTATGGATCCTAATATCAAGATGTCTAAAGATGATGACGAACTTCTGAGTGATATCACCAGCTATCGGCGACTAATTGGAAAACTGTTGTACTTAACCATCTCTCGCCCTGACATATGCTACTCTGTCAATAGATTGAGTCAGTTTCTGGCTGCTCCTAGAATCAGTCATATTCAAGCCGTTTTACGGATTCTCCAGTACATCAAGAGGACCCCTGGACAAGGTCTTTTCTTTCCTTCATCATCTGCCATTCAGATTAAGGCATTTTCTGATGCTGATTGGGGCACATGTCCTGACACTAGAAGATCCCTCACTGGTTATTGTATTTTTCTTGGGTCTTCATTAGTCTCATGGAAATCAAAGAAACGGTAAGTTATTTCTCGGTCATCTGCTGAAGCCGAATA